CTTGTACATACCTTTTTCTTAAGTTTGCACCTGGTGTAGCTAGAAGAGTCAAGCTCTTGGCATCACCCAGGCTGACAATTGGGGGTCTGGCCGGGAAAATTTTTTATCTTTTGATAAAAACCTGGTACTATTTTTTCTTTAAAAAATAAAACAAAACACATACAAAAAAATCATATTTTTTTTCTCCTTCCCTCTTGAATTTTTTCTACAAAAATCAAACCACTTAAACATCTTATAAAAAGCTCAAAAATAAACTTAAAAAAACATTTTCTTACTAGCCTTTTTCCTTACCTTTTTCCTTATAGTGGAATTGCAAGAAACCTCGAGACTAATCAAATACTATCTTGAACTCTTTGCCTCCGAAAAAGCACAGCGCGCAGCTCTCTATCAACCTACACCTTGGGAGTTACTTACCCCTCAAGAACAACGCGACCGCGCCCTTGCTCGTGTTCAACTCAACGAAGAAAAAAGAATAGACAACCTGTTTGCCTTTAACGCGCTCAAACGCCAGCATAAAAACCGTCGCCGCGAATTATTAGCAGAACTCAAAGCCAAAAGACTTGCGAAAAGTACGTCAAATAGCTCTCTTTCGCATACCCTAGCCTTTCTTATTTCGAATTTTTTCTAAATAAAAACTTTACGCTTTTTTTACCGACAGTGTCTGTTACCTCTAGTTCCAGCGCTGCTACTACCCCCGCTGCTCAAACCGCGGTTCATAGCCCTATCTCAGGTAAGAGACGAAGTTTTTAATAACCTTTTTTTTAACGAGCAAGCAAACTAAAAAGATCTATTTCTTCATTTTTTGTGGGGACAAAAACGATAATGTCTACCAGGTCCAACAACCCCGACCTGCACGGTCCCTTGCCCCCAGCCACTCGACCAAGGCGCAGCAAGTCAACTGGAGGAACGAGTCAACCGTCTCCGGTTGATCACGATCCAAAAGAAGATGCAACCAGTCTTGGTCGAGAAACCGACCGGGGAGACATTGGTCGAGAGCGACTCGGCTACAGCGACAACCGCTCAAGCAGCGGTTCCCAAAGCCCCCACCTTGGCTATAGTCCCAGAAAAAGCCCCGATAATAGCATCAGCGGAGCTAGCCTCGGACGCGATGGACTTGGATCCCCAAGCATCGACCTCCTTGGCAAATACCCAGCAACGCCGCAACTCGCCGGACGTGCGAGTCCTCTCGAAAGAGGAGAAAATTCAGCTGCTAACGAAAGAACACATTCTTCTTTGGAAGAAGTGCGAAGCAGCCCGACCGTCAGGCGCGACAGAGGAGCTCAAAGCACTCCTCTGTCAAGCCCAGGAGAGCCAGAAAGTTCTCCAGAAGTTAATCCCCCGCAAGGAGCTAGAAGAATTCGTCAAGGGCTGGAACCCTTGGACAATCAAGAAAGAGCTCTATCCCACCGCGCCGAAGAAAAACAAAGGCAAGAAGCGCTCCTCCTCCTCCAAAGGAGCGAAGGAACTCTACAACGACCCAAACCGTTGGAAACAGGTCATGAGAGGTTGCAACACCCTCGAGGCGGCATACCGCCACATGGCGGATTAGACACTAAAATTCTTACCGCTATCCTGGATAGTTTGGAGCTTGTTAGTAAGAACCTCTCCGCGATTGATAGTAACGCCGAAGAGAACTTTAAAACAATTGTACATAGTTTAGACCTTGTCTCGCGCAATAACAAGAAGAATGCCACTTCATTGTCCGTTCAATTTGACAACATGTTAAGGAACCCATTGTCAATAAATCCTGAGATGACTAAAGTAATCGCTGAAAATACTGCTAAGAGCGAGAGAGCTTGTTCTAAGTTAACCGTGACAGTTGATAAACTTAGCAATGATTTAAACGTCATCGGCGATTATGTCCTGTCTAACATCCGAGAGGATAATGTTATAGAAAATGCAAAAAAGAAAGAAGAGTCAGATGTAATAAAGGATTTACTTATCCAACAAAACATCAGATCCGAAGGTTTAAGTACTCTAATAAAAGAGCAAATTTCAGCTCTGAAAAAAGACATGAAAGCTGAAATTCAATCTAGTGTTCGTGACTTGCTAGCGCAGCATCTTTCCCACAATAAAACTGTGCCTCAGTTTGATCAAACTGATGGTACACCTCATCACCATGATCCAAAAATACCACGCTTTAATAATCCTTACATGGAAGAGACATCTAGAGATGCCGCGCCTCACCTGAACAGGTGTCAAAATAATACTGCGCCGCAGCAAAACCGGAACTCTCCGCCCCATTTAAGCAATTACACCGCCCCTTCTGCACCACTACAATCCCAACACAATAACAATAGAGTCCCATCTAGGTATTATAACATGGATTTGGCCACTTTAAATAAACTGGTCCCTCCTGTCACTGATTGGCCTAAATTTGCTGGCTCAGATGACTATGACCATATAAGTTTTATTAAATACATTGACCACATGTTGCTGTCCTACAGTGCAGATGATGAATTTGTCCTTAGTAGACTTCCAAGGTTATTTACAGATGTAGCTCTTGAGTGGTTCATAGAAAAACAAGAATCTGTTGGAAAACAATCTTGGGACACTTGGAAAAAGTTAATCAAAGCTCACTTTGGTACCAGATTATGGGAGCAGAAAATCAGAAGAGCCTTTGAGAGTGATTACTTTGATCCCACAAAAGACAAACCTCACAAATGGTGTCTCACGCAGAAAAAGAGGATTGATTGTATGTACAAAAATCCCACGCAATTAGACATCAATGATAAATTGCTTGATCAATGTAAAGGTAATCTTGAGCACCAAATGAGATGTAGACTTCCAAATATGGACACTGATTTATCCACATTTATTAATGTTATGGAAGAAGTCATTGAGATGACTGGTGCCAACAGAAGACACAAGGAAAATTATTCAGATAGAAGAGAAGGAACTTCAAAAAATCCTGCTCCTAAGGAAAAAGAAGGCAAACCTGCTGAAATTGCCCCTAAAAAAGATGTCATACCAGAATGTTACAATTGCGGGGAAAAGGGACACAAGAGACCTGATTGCCCCAATCCCAGAAAAAGGATTAATAATGTCAACATTGAGCCTGACAGTGAAGAAGAAACTTCTTCAAGGTTTGAAATGGTGCAGGTAGAACCTGAAGACTCAGATTTCCACCAAAATCATCACCAATCTGAGGAATCAGAATATAGATTCCAGGTTATATCAGCAGATATTGGAGATGAATTGGAAATAAATGCCATCCACGGTGAGTCAAATTTGCCTCAGAAATGGGATTCTACGATGGAAGTTGGCCACATTTCTGACGCCAAACTCTTGTCCAACAAACCTGAGACAGGGATGAGCTATACAATGGGAAAAACCAGTTACACTACTGTTATGTTCCAAGGTAAAGAATGGAAGGCTTTACTTGACATTGGAGCCTTCTGCTCTTGCACTAGTAGTGATTTCCTGGATGCTTGTTACCCTGAATGGAAAAATTATTTGTTACCTGTGCCTAAAGCAAAATTTAGCAGTTGTAACTCTGCCATGAAACCCCTTGGTGTAATTAGCATGCCTTTAATATTTCCTCACTCCAAAGGATCATTAAGACTTAATGTTGAATTTGTTGTTTTACAAGATGCTTTGTGTGAATATTTCATTTTGGGAAATGATACCTTCTGCTTATATGGCATAGACATTTTTCAAAGTAAGAATAGATACTACACTATTGGTGGAGACTGGAAAAGGAAATTCCAAATTTGTAATGTGAGCATTAAAATACCTGAGCCAATTGAAAAAGTATCTTGCCTTACTCAAGAACTGATTGAGTTTGATAAAGAATATTTGTCACAAGCAGCTGTGAGTGACATACTAAACCAGGAACAGAAAAAGGATGTCCTGAAAGTATGTTACAAATACAAGGAAGCTTTTTGCACTACAGAGGAACCAATTGGAAATGTCAAAGGACATGATATCAAATTGGAATTAACCTGTCAACCTCCGTACCCTCCTGCCCTTAGAAGAGCTGCCTACCCGTCTAGCCCAAAATCCAGAATAGCTTTGGAAACTCACATCAAGGAGCTTTTGGATCTAAAAGTTATAAGAAAAGTGGGCCATAATGAGCAAGTAGAAATTACCACTCCTGTAATTATTGCGTGGCATAATGAAAAGTCCAGGATGGTTGGGGATTTCAGAGCTTTAAATAACTATACCAAAGCTGATAATTATCCCATTCCTAGGATTGATCACTCTTTGCATAATTTGTCCAAAGCAAAATATATTACCACCATGGATGTGCTTAAAGGATTCCATCAAATACCCATTGAGCCAAATAGTAGACAATTTATGCGCATTATTTGCCATTTAGGTGTTTATGAGTACCTCAGAATGCCTTTTGGAATTAAAAATGCACCATCCCATTTTCAAAGGATGATGGACTCTATATTTGGGCGCTTTATTCGTCAAAATTGGATGATGGTTTACATAGATGATATTATCATTTATTCTGATAATTGGGCCACACATCTGGAAAAAATTACTTCTGTGCTTGAAATGGCGGTAGAATCTGGCCTCAAAATGTCCATTAAGAAATGTAATTTTGGTTATGGAGAACTTAAAGCATTGGGACGCATAGTGTCAGGCTTAACCTTAGCCATAGATCAACATAGAGTAGCTGCTGTCTTGTTAAAACCCATGCCCCAGAATATTACAGAAATGCAATCTTTCTTAGGATTTTGTAGTTACTACAGGCAACATATCCCCAAATTTGCCAATATCACTCATAGTCTTTATGAAATTTGTAGCAAAGATGTAATATATGAAATGACCTATTCACGTGTCCAGGATTATGAGCAACTCAAACACCTCATGACCACTGCTCCTGTTCTAGCCCAGCCTGATTACACCAAACCATTTATTTTGTACATAGATGCCTGTTTAGATGGTTTGGGCGCAGCTTTGCACCAAGAATTTGAAATTGATGATATTCCAACTGAGAAACCAGTTCTGTTTATCTCTAGACAAATCAAATCAAGTGAAAGAAAATATGGAGCAAGCCAAATGGAATGCTTGGCCTTGGTCTGGTCACTTGAGAAATTGCATTATTATCTTGAAGGCACCAAAGTTGTAGTAGTCACTGATTGCACAGCAGTTAAAACCCTCATGAACAGGAAGACACCTAACAGACATATGCTCAGATGGCAAATTGCTATTCAACAATATAGAGGACATATGACTATTGTTCACAAAGCTGGCATTAAACACAGAAATGCAGATGGGCTTAGTAGATGGGCCTTACCCAACACACCTGATAACCCAGCCTGGGATCCAGAAGATGAGGATATTTTTCCCATTTTAGGAATTCACGTGTGTGATTTGGATATTGCTTTCTACAACTTAGTCCAAGACAGCTATAAGGATAATATTGAACTGTTGAAATTGGTTGACATCTTGAGCAATGAAAATAGTTCCCCTGAGTTGATTGCTAGTTTACCCTCTAATTTGGCAAAACCTTATTCTGAAGGAAAATTCACTTTATTGGATGGATTGCTGTACTACAGGAATAGACACTCTAGTGTTTTAGTACTCTGTGACCAGGCACAAATTGACAACATTCTTTATGAATGCCATGATAATGTTAATTCTGGCCACTTTTCTGAAGACAGAACAGTGGAGAGGATAAAACATACTGCCTGGTGGTTAGACTGGAGATCTCAGGTGACCAATTACGTCAAATCTTGTGAAGTTTGCCAAAAATCAAATAAACAAACAGGGAAAAGATACGGGCTACTCCAGAAAATTACTGAACCCAGTACTAAGTGGGAAATAATTAATATGGACTTTGTCACAGGATTACCTCCTGGAGGAGCCTATTCTTATAACTCTGTCCTGGTAGTAGTAGACAGGTACTCTAAGAGAGCCAGGTTTATCCCAAATCATAAAGATGACACTGCAATGGAAGTAGCCATGTTGTTTTGGAACAGAATTATGGCTGACGTGGGAATTCCCAAAATTATCATCAGTGATAGGGACCCCAAGTTTACTTCAGAATTTTGGAGGAACCTACATGACATGCTAGGGACTAAATTAGCCTTTTCCACGGCCTACCATCCTCAAACTGATGGGCTGGCTGAAAGGATGATCCAAACCTTAGAGGATATGCTCAGGAGATTCTGCTCATTTGGTTTAGAATTCAAGAACCATGATGGCTACACTCATGATTGGGTCAGCCTGTTGCCTGCTCTTGAAATTGCATATAATAGCAGCAAACATTCTTCCTCAAATGAAGTACCTTATGTCCTTGAAAGAGGTTGGATCCCAAGAATGCCAAAAGATACCCTTAATGATAAATTACCACATATACACCCAACTGCTCTAGACTTTAAAAAGATGCTTGATGTGACTCAAAATCATGCCAAAAAGTGTGTTGAGGAAGCAGTGGAGTATAACAAGAACAGATGGGATAAGAGCCATAAACAACCAGACTTTAAAATTGGGGATAAGGTTCTATTATCTACTGTTAATTTTAATAATTTGGGGGGTAATAAGAAACTTAAGCCATCCTTCATAGGCCCATTTACTATCAAGGACATGCATGGGAAAAATGCCGTAGAGGTCATCTTGAGTGAGGAACTTTCCAGGAAACACCCCGTATTTCGGGTAAGCCTAGTCAAACCTTATACAGCTAGAGACAATACTGAACCAAGGCCATGTCCTCCAGTCCCAATAATGGAACCTAGTAAAGATGAGAAACTTCATGTATCTAAAATATTAAAAGACAAAAAAGAAAGAATTCAAGGGAAAGACACTAGGCTTTACTTAGTCAGGTATAAAAACCAATCTGCAGATAAGGATGAATGGTTACCAGAGTCTAATATACCTGATGGAGCTATTCACTTGAGGAATTACAGAGCCTATAAGAGGAGTTAAGTGCCTCAAAAAGCCCAATTTTTTTTTTTCACACTTTAAACTGTTTTAATAATTATGCTTGCTATGAGTAGGAAACTCATCTTAGGGGTAGGGAATGTCAGCCTGCTGCTATTCAGAGACAACCTGACCATAGCATTTTAAATATTTAGAGACATTATTACATATGCTACCCCATAGCATATGTAATTAATGTCTATTTTATATGTACATAATATAGAGACATTATTACATAGGTACATATAAAAAACATTAATATTTAAATAAGTGGAATCACTATAATAGAGACATTATTACTCATTACATTAAGTTTTACTAGTCATGAAAGAAAACGTAAAAATAAACCAAAAACATTTATAAATAAACATTTTTTAACATGAATCTACAAATAACTTCTAAACCTTAAGCAAAAGTTAGAATATTATTTCAGATTCTTAATTCTCATGCAAAATAACCTAGGGTACCTCACCAGAAGTACCCCTGAATTATTACTCCTTCAGGTACTTCTGTGTACTCTGAGTGACACTTGCTCATTTTGCTAAAAACCCTCCCAGTTACATCATACTACATGTTGTGACAGGTCTACATATGTAATTAAGGTTCATGCAGTTCGGGAAAAATCTACAAATAAGGTTGACATCATTGAAACCTTAACTACATTGTCACAACAACTGTAACTGGCTGGTCAAAAGCCATTTGTGGCCCTTTTTGGCCCAATTTGGCTAACTACGCCTGGTTAAGACCAGCCCACTGGTCATTAAAGGGTCCCAGTGCCCAAACCATGGCTGCAGTTTCGTCACAGCACTCCTTAGTGTGTGTTACAAGCCTCACTTCAGCCCTCTGCCACCTGTAACCAAAGACTACAGGTGTCCAGGCAGTGCTACAGGTCACTAATGCCTAGTAGGAGGCTTACACCAGCCAAACAGAGTTCTGAGTTCGCCTCCAAGGGCCCAGAATGAGTATATAAGGAGCCCTTCTTGACCACGAACTCAAAATCCCATCTTCATTACCACTTACCAGCAATAACCACCTCCAACAACCAGTTTTTCACCTGTTTTTGGCCCAGTTCCTGCTGTTTCTGTCTTGGATATCACCAACCCAACCATCAACTGTTCCCCAGCACTCTTCCAACACCTGTTACCCAGTTTTCTGAGCGCTCCCAGACCAGTTTTCACCCACCTGAAGTCCCCTTGGCTTGGAAATAGTACTAAGTAGGTAATATTTCCTTGATACTTCAGTTGTAGGCATTTTGTCTGGGCATACTCCTTTCCACAAAGGACCAGATCATCAGGTACATCAAAAATACCCCTGTTTAACAGGTCCTGATTCATTGGAGGGCACCATAAAAACCCCTGTAACTCAGGCCCCTCCCTTTATAAAAACTTAACAGTTTTTATTTCTTCTTTTCTTAATAACAAAAACTCCCCTCTCCAAGTGTTACCCACACTTGTACATACCTTTTTCTTAAGTTTGCACCTGGTGTAGCTAGAAGAGTCAAGCTCTTGGCATCACCCAGGCTGACACAATTACGAATGCAATTAAGATTCCAACCAGCTCACGTGAGAGCTATTGCCAGAAGGCTTCAGAAAAAAGATTTTTTGATCAAAAATTTAGATCTAAGGGGTCTAGATCAACTTTGCGTAGGGTCTTAGATTGCAACGGGAAGTCATCCAATCAATCAGAATAAAACTTACTACTTGTTTGGCATTTTCAATAATTCTTACCTTTATATCTTCATCCATTTGAGCATGAATATTTTGTAGTTAATCTACTGTTAGAGTGAAGCCATATTGGTCTACCTTTGTTTGCTCAAACTTTGATGGTAAGGATGATTTATGTATTATATCTGTATAAAAACTTTATGTAGTTGGTATGGACCTGGTCATCAGAGCAATTAATTTAAAACCAACATTGTCCACACTTTTACTTTGGTACCTGACACTATTACAGTTTATCTTCCTGACAGTCAGGATAAGTGATGTCTATAATATATCTGTGATTGATAATGTAATTCCTGAAAAAAAGTGTTGACTGACTTCCAGATATCTTATCAAGTGGTGGAAGCTGGAAATATAGTATATTCTTATAGATTCTTTTCTAAAAGCCAGGATATAGAGTTTATGTACTAGGGGGTATCAAATATAACAAAATCTACCACTTTTTAATTGACTGGTTTTGAGAAACCCACACTTACTAAATCCACCTTTGCAGTGACCAAATAACCTACTTCTTTTTTCAGGGGCGTATCAAATATAGCATAAATCAACCCATTTTTTTAGCCCAAAATTCCTGAATTTTCAAATTTCAAGTACAATTTCAAATTCCAACCATCCCCCATCCTCCACAATTTCCTCAATCCTCCACGATTCAAACCCCGCTCACCCCACGGCTTCTTCAACATCTCCTCCTAACTTGCCCCTGCAAATCACTTGTCATCAAACCAAGTCTGATCAATTGATTAGTTCAAGGTATTTATCTTCAACTGAACCAAATTATATTTAAATGGCCTCACAAATTTGTTCTTTTACCACTTCATGCACCCAACAGATGCCTCCAAAACAAGCTTCCAGAATCCCAAACATATGATTGCTTCAAACCCCTCCAAAGAAGAAGAGGACCACTCCCAAAAATACACAATCAAAGAAGAACAATGAGGAACTTTGTTCATCCCAAGGTCATCTAAAAAGAGAGTACTATGAAATCATCATTGACTGGCTCAAAGATAAGAAAAACTATGTTGCGTGTTTTGGTGTTGGGAAGGCTCCTGCAATTGGACAACAGCCAAAGGCAATGATAACTGGTTACGATTTGACGGTGATTCACCTGTGAAATTTATCTCCAACTAAAATCAAGCTCACCCACCCAACAGATGAAAGATTGTTTCAAGTCATACAAAGACAAGTATAAGAAAGCTCATCCAAAATCTATGTCAACTGGCTTTGGTCTGAACCCAGCTGATCAGAAGGCTGGAATAACAGCGATCATGGAAAAACTTGAAAACATGTGTCCTCTCTATGCTGAAATGGACAAAATCTTTGGTAACCGGCCTGAAGTCAATCCATTGTTTTTGGCCAATGCAGAGGTGCTAGAGGATGAAGACAATAAATCTGAATCGTCTTCTGAGCATGATGGTTCCAATTCCTCATATGATTCAGACAAGACAGGTTCATCCAAAACTTCTGAGTCCACTGCAATTCACCCTTTGTTGAAGAGTGCTACTTCACAAGTCAATATCATGACCCTGGAGCAAGAAAACACAGGAGATGTAAGTCAATTGGATTCATTTGTTGTCAGTGGTCTGTTCACTGATTTGGTAAGATATTGCCTTTTCAAACAAAGAACGGCAGCTCTGACTGGGAAGCTTCCAATTGATGTCGAGGCAGGTGTCCAGGCTGCAGCAACAGGTGTAAGTGGCATTTTTTGGTGATGGAAAAAAAGACTACAACTATATTGAGTATCTTCATCTTTCTATCTTTCTGATCTAGAAACCCACTCTGTCAGGTGAGACTTTTCAAGATCCAGCTTCAAAGTCTAAAGCTGTGGGGACCAAGAACAAGTCACCAAAGAATAAGAAGAACAAAAGCAATTGTCTGCAATCTACAAGGAAGGCACCTGCTCTGAGCGATTCTGAGTAAAAATCCCCAAGGAAGAGAACAAGTGCAAAGAAGAAGCGCAAAAGAATGTCTTTGGGGTTGAATGCTGGTTTGACACCCAAAGAACTTGCATTGGACCATCAAACAAACAAGGACCTAGAAACCCCAGCTCCAAGCCCAAAAAAAGGAAAGCAGTGAGCATCAAACTCAAAGAATGTCAATCCCAAAAGCCACAGTTGCCCCTCTGCTGTTCCCAACTCTTTTCTGGCCTATGATCTAAGAATATGCAGTGAAAAGAGATGCTGGTCGGTCATCTGACATTCCACTTTTTAACTACCTGGTAAATTAACAATTCTTCCTTTCTCCTCAATTTCTAGGAAAATCTGAGGTTGCTTGGGAGAATATTGGCTTTGAAAGGCTGAAGTACGACAGGATGATTGAAAAGGAAGATCACGGTCTGAAATTGGAAGATAAAAAGTTTGAGCATAATCAAGAAATGGAACGTAAAAGATGAGATCATTTGGTCAAGTTGGAGGATAAAAAGTTGGATATGGAGAAGGAGGAGAAGGAAAAAGATTGAAATTTTGAGTTGAAAAAACTGGATTGCCAATCAAATGTGGAGACTCAAGTGAAAAAGATGGAGTTGTTAGTGAAGTGTTTGGACTCTGGGAAATCAATGGAAGAGATAGGGAGGATTGCAAGACTTTTCAAATAGCCTTCCATTTTGATTATCTTGTTGTAGTATGACTTAACTCAACGGTTTCATCACATATGGGAAATAAAAGTCCCATCAAGACAAAAACACACAAGCAATGAATTAATTTTTTTTTGATGACAACCACAAATAAAATCGATAGACAGTCAGTTTTTTTGGGGGGGTTTTATGGAGCAAGAAAGCAAAATGAAATGACGAGAAATGAGGTTAGTTAAGAGAAAACAGGGCCTTTTTTGGGTTGGAGGAGTTTTGTTGTAAGAAATAAGAAAATTATGGAAATTGGAGGACCACAATGACAAATGACAAAAGGAAAATCAATTATATAAAGAGAAATGGTCAAAGAGAAGCTAAATTCTTTGACATTTTTTGGAGGGTTGTTTTGACAACGGTTTGTCATCATTGTTATTTTTGGACAAAAGTTTGTCATCTTTTTTTTCTTTTTTTGCCTCTGGGATAAGTTTGAGATTCATCAAGGATTAAACGGATGTCATAAACCATCCAGTGTTTCTTTTTGGGATCTTTCTTATAGTCACCCTTTTGTACTTTTTCAATTATCTTTTTGGTTTTCCTTGGGAGTTGGACAGAGTAGCCGAGTCAAGCATGTGGAGAAGAAGCGTGAGTTGTTGAGGGAACAGTGAGATGGTGAATGTGTTTGGCTCTCCAAGAACATTCAGCAGCTCCTTTAAATCTGGAAAAGTCAATACCAAATCCATTCCTTGGGAAAATGAATTCACCACCGTATCTGTCCAAATCATCTTCTAATAAGTCACCTATGGTTTTGTCAATTGGAAGCCATGTGAAAAAAAAGTATGGCGAGCTATCTTGATCCATGTGGGGCTTATTGGAGAAATTATCCAAGGTGTATGATAAATGACACGTGAAATCCCTGGGGCACTGGTAAAAAGAGGTGTTAACCCTTGGACCTCCATCTTGTTATGTTGGGTTTGACTTCTTGAAAAAGAGGATGTGAGAGGGCCCCAAATTGTTGGCCAATGAAGCGAGTAACATTGTCAACCTGTAATTGAAGGTCTCTGTTTCCTTTGGGGTCTTGGGATACCTTCTCTGCAATGCCTGTGACACCAATTATTGAGTCCTTCTCAAATCCTTTGCGCCAACCAAGAATGAACAATTTCCCCAATGATGCTGGACTGTTGTTTTGTTGGGGTTCAGGAATCTAGTCTGTTGAATCAGATTGTGGGCGACTTTCAAATTTTTGCAAGAGTTGTAAATTTTTTTATAACTGTTGCCAAAAATTTTAGGGGGTTAGTTAAACGACTCCCAACCCCCGCAATCCCCTAATTTTGGGATTTGAACCCTGAAAACCTTTGATTGGTTTGGGAGTCAACTCCCTAAGAAAAATAATAATAAAAAATAAGAATCCCTGGTTGAATACCCAGGGCAGCGGCCGGGAGGATTCCTCCCGGTGTGGTGAGCCAAATCAAAACATCAAGGCCTCAAAGCACCGCACAATCAGGACAAGAAGACCCCAAACACCTTGGTCCTCAAGACAGAAACCTCAAGGCACCCAGACCACACGTGGGGGGAAGAAAGTCACCCCTCAGACAGAGCCAGGGTATTAGGAACCCTCCTTGTTTTCTCTTGTTTCATTCTTTCTCTTTCTGGAGCTGCTGCATATGCACTCCTCTTTCTCTTATCTCTCTGTTTCACACTAATGCACCCACTTGGGGATTGGTCTCTTACCTCTATGGATGCGCCTGCATGTGGCTATGCGTCTTTCAGACTTATGCACCCTTTTGGGAAAGCAGGCTATGTCATTGTGTCCTCTTTAGTCTTAGCAGCCACCCTCTGGGCCGTAGTGTTTCAGTTTGATATTTTTCACTTGTTCCTTTTCTCAAACCACAAGCTGGCCACTCCCCAGATTTTGTATATAAGGAGCCATGTTTTCCCCTCTCATTTGTTCCATCATCAGATCCCTGACGTGCTCAGCCTGGTCACTTAGTTAGCTTATAGTCCTTAGTCATAGTCCTTAGAAAATAGTCCTTAGAAATTGTCCTCAGAAATATTATCACGCCTTTTTTCAGAAAAAGTCCGCCACAACTTCAGAGAGTATTTGAACTCTCCTTGTCTACTACCTTAGCACCTTTCACCGGAGGGCAGCCTTATCCATGGCGCATTTACCCTTCCACGCTCTATCTGTTCCCACTGGGTAGTTCCACAAGTGGTGTCCCAACAGTGGCCTGACGATCTCTAGATTAAACAGTCACGTTTTGGTTATCCATTACAACCTTAAGATAAAAAACCTTAAAAAAATCAATTCCTTACATTACTATCAGCACTATCTCTTGCCCTTCTCCGCACCTAAAAATTCATAAAAACGCACACAAAAATTAGATTAGATTTACGTCATAGCTTTTAGAAATGGCTTACCGTAACCAGCCAGTTCCTATAAACCTCCAATATTGGACAATTATCAAACAACTTACCCCTCAACCCCGGACCTTTCCATGAACAAAACAACGCCTCGTAAAATTTGTCTTTGGATGGCCTAAATGCGAACCCGGCGTTGTCAGAACACTCTGCAGGATTTTGATTGCCTGGTCACGGTTTCCCAAGTCATGGCCAAGCGGGGAATATACTACCAAGTCCTCATTTTTTGGAAAGTCGTGTCGTGCTGCCAGCGTATAACCCGGAGCCATTTGGACGAAAACCAGTCAAAATTAAGTCCCAATCCAAAGGACTAATGTTCAACGGTACTAACATGGACATCAGCGATTTTATTAAGCGCCTGGAATACGCCGCACAGATAGATGTCGCCCTAGGATCCGACATTGCGCTTCAGATAATTTTCTTCCTCGAAGGCGAGACTTTGGTTAAAGAAGTCCAGGAAATGGCCGAAAAAGAGAACCACGACTGGGAAAAATTGAAAGAACGAATGGTGCTACGTTGGGTTAAGATGATGCCGCTCCTGAAACATACGAGGAACAACTTGGATCAGCTCCTAGCAACAACGCGCGCATCTGGTATCAAGACTCAACGGGAGTTCCAAAATTTCTGTACCAAGATAGATAACTTGGTGGCTTACCTCGTCCGATGTCAACACATGGGTAACACAGAGGAAATTCAACACGCCGTATTAAACTGCCTGGTCCATCCAATTAAGGTCTCAGTCACAAAGGAACTTATCAGGGATAATCAAATGCGTTTATCGGTGGACGGATCCCACATTTTGCCGCCGTACCTAACCATTATGGAATATATCAGCCGTGAGCTCAAGACCATCTCAATTTTAGAAGGAGAGGATCCCCCGGCAAAGCAACCAGCCGCCAATCAACCAGCGCCACCACGAGCCCCAGTAAATACGCCACGAAAGGATCCAGCTGTTGAGCAGTTAACCAAGACCTTAGCAGGATGGAACGTCCAGAAAGGCCCTGTGATATTAGCCGGCCACGTACCCTACAGGCCAGCGCAATACGAGAGACCACCGTCAACCTTAAAGTGTCCTTATTGCTTTGGGGAAAAACACACGGTGTATCGATGTAGCTTATTTTCCCAGGACGAGTTTGACAAGAAAGTTTACCGCGAAGGAAAGGACCTGAAACTTCCTAATGGAACCATAGTACAGCCCGACAGATCACGTACCATAAAAGAAGTCGTGGATAAGAACTGTGTACCACCACAGACTCCAGCAATCATCAACCTACCGACAGGGACCGAAATTAGAAAAGAGGAACCAACACCAGAAATTCGAGCCTCTTATGGTAAACTGGAAGAATGTACCCCCAAAAAACTTAGCTCTTACAATGTTGACACCGCCAAACAATTGAGGAGCGGAAAAGAAGTCTCTGAGACTCCGGCCCCAAAGAAAACTTGAAAGGATAAATAAGATCTGATGGACGTCGAGGAGGAGATTACAGAACTAGCCCGACAAGACAACCATGACCTATTCCCAGGGTACAAAGAGCATCTGGAAAAAGCGGCTGCAGAGGTACCAAAGAAAGTTCAGTTCAAGAAACCAGAAGTCACCACACCAGAGGCAAAAGAAAAAGTGCCCAAGAAAACTTATTTGGAAAAGACCTTGTCTAAAGAATTTCCCAAAGCCAAAGAACGAGTCGTCCAAAGAATGGTCTTGGAAGGCAAAATGGAACTCTCTTATGGTGAAATTTTTGTGATCTCCAATGGCGTCTCCAAAGCTTTCAAGAAGAAGATCTCACGACGAAAGGTCCCAATAGAGGGTGGTACACCAGAAAAGGTAACTAACACCGGAGGAGTGGACTCAGACGACGACGAAGAGGAAGAAACGGAGGCTCCACGCAGGTCCCATTACGCATGCCCGCTGGGCCACATAAAGGTAGGTATCAACGGTAAGAAAGTCCAACCCCTTCTGGACAATGGCTCCATGGTAAACGTGCTCCCAAAGGATCTCGCGGTACGCCTGGGCCTCATTGTTACGGAAAAGAAAATGAACCTCAAAGGAATCGGCGGTCACAAGAACGAAATCCTTGGGATAGCCGAATCTGTACGCGTTAAAATTGGAAATATCTCTCAAAACTTCCACTTCTGGGTATCCACCGGAGATGTGCAACCTATCTTAGGTAAAACCTTCCTAATTGACGTATCAGCAACTATGCGGTACGCAGGGGAAGGTGGGGAGAGTCTATCCATAAAAGACGACAAAGGACGAGTTTATTTGGTTCCTATTATTACTCCGGCCAATCAAGAATACAAGACAACCTTTCCTACAAACATAACTACAAATTCAAACGTGGTCACGGCCTCCAGTGATGCATCATCAGAAAATGTCTTCAAACAACAGATGCAACATAGCAATGGGGTGTTAGTCTGCGCAGCCAAGTATAAATCCGCAGCAAAAAAAGTAAAACCGGTCAACAAACCTATGCCCCAAAATATCAATACCCCACTTAGTTTTCCAGTGCTATCTCGGGATCCTTACACTACTCCACTCACGCCTAATCCCCCAGAATTCGTGCCTACTGCTAAAATAACTGAGGAACGCCTTAAAGTCGTAAATTTTGGACCAACCGGCTGGCTTTCAGATGAAGAGTTAAAATTGCTCAAGCATGTCATCAAGCTTTGAGAAGGCGCCTTAGCCTTTGTAGAAGAAGAGAGGGGGTTATTGAAACATTCATATGGAAAACCTTACATCATCCCAGTAATTGCCCATGAGCCATGGCAACAAAGACCAATTCCTATCGCTCAGGCCATCAGAGATCAATTCATCGAGTTGGTTAGAGAACGGATTCGGACCGGACTCTATGAGCAATCTTGTTCCAGCTATTCAAGTCCAGTGTTTTGTGTCAAGAAACAAGATGGAAAGCTCCGAGTGGTCCACGACCTTCAAAAATTAAATAAAGTCACAATTAAAGACGCAGGATTGCCCCCTGCACCAGAGGATTTGATTGAATCATTCACCGGCTGAGCTTGTTACGGGCTTGGTGACATTATGGGCGGCCATGACAAACATGAATTAGACATCAGCTCTCGACCCTTGACAACCTTTGAAACCCCTTTAGAACGGTTCCAACTTACCAGATTACCACAGGGAGCGACCAACTCAGTCACAGTTTACCAATCCCAGATGATGTGGATTCTTCAAGAAAAAATACCAGAAAACGTGGGAATATTCATTGACAACGGCGGAATTAAAGGACCTGTCTCGGACTATAATCAAGAAAGGTTGCCTGAAAACACCGGAATTCGCCGTTTTATTTGGGAGTATGCCGTCATTCTGGAACGAGTCCTCTTTCGGATCGAAGAAGCCGGCTTAACCATCTCGGGAAAGAAGTTTGCTTGCTGTGTCCCAGCTCTGGAACTTGTAGGCCATGTAGTCTGTAAAGAGGGACGCAGGATTGCAAAGAAACAGCTTAACAAAGTGCTGACTTGGCCGACCCCAACCAATACCACGGAAGTTCAAGGTTTCCTGGGAGTTTGCGTCTATGTACGAATGTTTATCCAGGACTTCTCCAATCTGGCAGCTCCTTTGCGAAAACTCACACGAAAGGACGCGGAATGGGAATGGACGGACGCCTGTCAAGCCTCCTTTGACTCCCTTAAAAAGATCGTGGGGCAGGACATAACACTGAAGGAAATTGATTACTCTGACAAAGGAGGAAAGATTAAGCTTGCGGTAGACTCCAGTTAAATTGCTGCAGGAGCCGTACTCACTCAAGAAGTGGATGGCCGGGACCGCCCGGTACTTTACGAATCAGTAGTTTTTACGCCAGTGGAGTCACGATATTCTCAGTCCAAACTCGAACTTTGTGGGGTAGCCAAGGTTCTAAAAAAATTACAAGCACAGCTTTGGGGTCAACATTTCAAGCTATTAGTCAATGCTAAAAGTCTCATCGGGATGATTAATTCTCCATCCCTTCCGAACGCGCCAATGACCCGCTGGGTAGCTTTTATCCAACTGTTTTCTTTTGACCTCAAACATGTTCCCGGAAAAACATTCACCATGCCAGATGGTCTTTCTCGACGTCCACCCAACGAGGACGAACCGACTGCTACCAAATTTGACAAAGACGAATCTTGGGTAAAACCACATGCAGGATTTGGCTTGAAAGAGGTCAATTCTTTGAATTTGGGGGTGGCCAACACACAGTTTCTTCAAGAAGGAATTTGGGCCAAGCTCCAAGAATATTTGTTTACCTTAAATCGACCCGAGGACTGTACCGAAGAAGAATGGGCAACCATTTTAAGAAAATCAGCCACTTTTTTTATTTCAGATGGTAAATTAAAAAGGAGGAACACACCATTTCCTCAGCTCGTCATATCTTCCAAGAAAAATCAAGACTTTGTCCTGGAAACGCTCCACGAGGAATTAGGCCATCAAGGTGTGGAAGAAACTTATAGACGCTGCAAGTTACGATTTTGGTGGCCTAGCATGAAGAAAAACATTGGCGCGTGGGTTCAATCTTGCGAGGCCTGTCAAAAGCGTAGCCTGGTCAAACCTCTTGAGCACAAACACGCAACTGGTAAAAATACTATCTTTGGACGAGTCAGCATGGATGCAGTCCATATTAAAGCCGGTAGCTGGAAATACCTTCTCGTAGCTCGTGATGATCTGTCCGGGTGGGTAGAAGCAGTAGGCCTCGAAAAACTTATGGCAGCAAAAGTTGCTTCTTGGTTCAAAGAAAACTGGGATCTTACGTTACGGAGCGCCATGTGCAGTTGTGATGGACGGAGGTCCTGAATTCGGAAAAGACTGTACCCAAGAGACCCACTACGGCCCACTGCGCGCTCGGATCCACAGTTAAGATAACCACCCCTTACTACCCAGAAGCGAACGGTATGGTAGAACGCGGTCACCAGCCACCTAAAGATGCACTTGTCAGATGTGCGGAATGAATGGAAAGAAATGGCAAACTTTTTTGCCACTTGTGTTATTGGCAGATAGGGTTTCAGCCAAGCGTACACCGGGCTACACACCCTACGAACTAGTATCTGGACAACCGGCAGTTCTACCTATTGATCTAGAAAAGGGATACATTTTTAGGCACAGACTGAGAGGAAGTACCAAGTACAGCGGACCTCTTGTCAGCACGGGCTAATCAAATTGAAAGACGGGAGGAAACTCTTAAAAAAGCTTACAAGAAATTGAAAGAAACGCCCGAAAATCCGTGGAATCCTGGAACAAACAAAAGGCGGATTGGGGACCCATTAGTCCTGGTGAGTTAGTACTGGTCTACAATAGATCCCTTGAAAGCCAATGGGGAAAACTCTTTGAAAATCGCTGGAACGGCCCTTACCGAGTGATATCTCAAGAAAAATCCGGCTCTTACGTCCTCGAAGAACTAGATGGGACCCCATTAAAACGATGGTACACAGCACCGCAGGTGAAAATATTTCATCAGCGTTTCTGAAAGTATCCCTCCTTAAATAAACACACTGTACATTATTATGCTCTCCAACTGCTGTCTGTCATTACTTCATAGCTAAAATTACACCAAAAAAAAAAAAAAGGGTGGTTAGCCCAAATGTTAAAATTTTCTCTATCTATAGTTATCTTGGTAAAATTCCTCTACTCACACCCTATATATGAATCAACTCAACTCGGGAGGCGTTATTCAAGATATCGACCAGCTCCTCCAAGACAGATTCCATAAGTTCGTTGGTCGTCCAATACGTTTCCACTGGTCCAGCGGCAGCGCGAGCATGACGGGATCGACCATGCAAAACTCTTTGGGAGTTGTGTTGAATATGGTTAAGGAACCACCTGCTGATGCGGTCTCGAGCGCAAAGGACCTCCTCTTCATCAATAACAGTTGCTTGGAAAGGGATGATCTCGACGGGGTCGAACCTTGGGCTGTTTAGTCTTTCATCTTCATTTATTTCGTCATTATTCCTTCCGTCGGTATTGGCTTCTTTGTCTTTTATTTCAATTGGGTTCTCAGGGGAACCAAGGGGAAGCACCTCCAAGCGATATGCAGGAGGTGAAGCACTGGGGGCGCGCTCAATGGCGCCGGTTGTTTTGATTACGGGGTCAGCATCAGACCTAGCAATATTTGTCTCGTCATCAGAAGCAATCGAACTGTTGTTGATGGAGTCTCCATCATTCAAGCGGTCGTTGTCTACGTTGCTTAGAAGATTTCGATTGGCCGTGGAGATCGGGCCGACTTTGCCAGGAGAAAACGCGCCGCCAGAAAACGTAGCACCAGGGATCCAATCGGTGTTGAACGGCATCGTCAAAGGATTTCCAAAATGATAGATTGAATAGACTGGGTTGATGGGCAGAAAACGAGGCCGTTTCCCCCCCTCCTTTTATGCCTTCAGCAAGGGTAGCTAGAGTACCAAGTCGCTTCTCGACTCCTTTCTCTTTTTTTTTTTTCCCTCTTCTTTTCTCTATTGGGTTGTCACCCAAACGGAACAAGAACCATCCGGATTCCGCTGTTCTGAACAAATTCGACCAAATACCGTGCTGCTTCTTTTTTTCTTTATTGCCACTCGGAAAGGGAGCCATCCTTCCCTTCCGGCTCAAATACTGTCACGCATCCCTGCAACACTTCTCTTTCCAAAGTCGTCGTAAAACGAAGGAGCCGCTCCTGCGGTTTTGGTTAAAAAAGCGACTGTTCTGGGTTTCTTCAGCCCTGGTTCCTTTTGCTTTTTTGGTTGTTATTTCTGTTTTTTTTAAGTTACACTCTGTCTTGGCGCGACCGTTCTCTTCGCATTTAGCTCGCTCACCGTACCTCCACTTGAGATAGAAAACTCAAACCCGAACCACCTCTTCGGTAAGGCTAAAACCCCAAAACGACTTAGGCTCTCCAGCTACAGTACCCAGGACTCAATGCAGCTCATCGACCGAATCATGCCCGCTGCTCAACAGACAACAAAGATCAATATAGCCAACCTGGCTGAAGGAACCAGTCTGGCTGATGTAATGACCTCCTTCAGCCAGTTTGGAAAAATTATGCGCTGCTCTCTAAAACAACACTACAACGGCCAGCATACATCAGTCTCGGCCACCGTTGAATTTTTGTCCTACACGTCCGCAGTAAGCGCAGTCGAGGAATTGGACGGCGCTACCGCCGACGTTC